CCCGACATACTACAATGTATCCGGAAACGTTTTTGAAAATTTAAACAATTTCGTGTAAAGAGCTGATGTTTCATCCGTTTTTGGATCCATTAAAGTGCGCGAGTCCGAAATGTGTGTGTGTTGCGAAATGGACACGCTTTCGGCTTATTTTCTGAAATTTTTTGATTCAATATTCTGTTGAAAACGATTTTTTGCTGAACTTTACAGAAGCCTTTTCACAGTTATGGAAAACCAAACAAAAGGCAAATTTTAGATTCAGCAATTGTTTTAATTTTAGTAAACACTTTTTACTTATATAAATAACTTTAATGTGTTGTGACTGATGGGATCTCCTGAAAGCTAAAAAAAGTAGCACACTTTTTGCTGGATAATACCCACTTTTTGGAAAATTTTTTAGTGGTATCAGCAATTTGTTTTGCGCCTTTATTACCCTTTTTACCAGAGCCGAATTTCTTTCGATTGGTCTGAGCTCAGGCCAAAAAAAAAATGGAGACCTTCCGCCTTCTTATGAATGGCAAAAGCCGTTTTTGCAAACACTCCTGGTTATATAATTCAGTATTAATCGTTCCAGTTGCAACAAAAGAGCTGCTTCATTTACCACAACTACAAATTGCTTGCCAAACAAAAATTTCTTAGAAAACTTAGTCTTTTTTTATGTTTTGAACTCCTTGGGGACATATCCTCTACGATCCGGAACATAAAAATCCACACCTGATAACTGAGAGCAGCCGCCGGGCATACATACTACACATGTACACATGTACATATGTCTCATCATCGATGAAGCCATAGTAAAAATTCTTAAAGAACTCAAGTTGAAGTCGTTTGACTCGATCTTATGCCGTGCTGTTCTATTTTAAAAATCTATCGGGAACTTTCTGGACATTTTATGACTTGGGGTCTTCCTTCTTTTTAACTTTTCTGACAAAACCCTCGGGGCATCGTAGTTTTTCTGCTTCTTTTCTAGCCAATATGTTAGGATTTTTCCTAAAAAGCGCTGTTACCCTCTTGGCGACGCCAGGGTTTTAAGTAAAACTTTGTTTTGTCACTTTCTATTGATAGTCAGAAATTCGCTATACGTTAAAAAAAAAAAACGACACGGTATTCCGGGAAACCAATTTGGATTTTCGATATAAAACCGATCAAATTTTTCTGCATTTCTTTTTCACTGCTAATATTGAACACTAAACGAATTGAGTTCCATGTTGTGGTTGGAAAAACTGAAATTTTGAATTTGAAAACTTTTACAAGTTGTAATGCATGCATTAATTTTATCGTCCGCAAACCTTATATCAAATACCTATATAGGTGAAGAGTATGCTAAAAAACGGCGTATATAAAACTTTTATATGTAGCAGAGTAAGTTCAATCAATAAACTATCAATTATTTCCTCATTTTATTTTGTTATTGCAATAGCCTTTTAAAATATTTCTCTACTTAATTGTGTTCTAACCAGACGCCCACACAACAGAGAAGCATGCGCAAAAAAAGAGCAGTCAATATACTACATATCACATGCGTAGATACCTACAAATTCTTGTATATCTCATTAATACTGTTGTTTCATTTTATATTGTTTGCACATTTCACCGCTGAATGAGCTTCTCTAATCTCCAATGAAATGGGGACAAATCGTCGATTCTACATGAATAGTGGCAGCGATGGCAGCTGCTTTCTCGTGTGTGACACCCACCTTCATTGTTCAGCGCAACGTCAATGACATTCGCAAAACGCGACGCAGCTGTTTTTTGGATTCTATTAAGTGAGTAAAACACAATTTTATTTTATTTAGAATAATAACTTAGTTTGCAAAATGTATTGCGAAATGTGCTTTTGTCCAGAAAAAGTTTATCGCTACTATCTTCAATTTACAATTTATTTTTTTTTTCTAATTATACATATTTTCATGTTATTACAGTATTTTCCCTTCCAAAGAAAATTGCTCTTATTATGTTTCTATTGGTGTCTTGTAGACGCAGCCTACAGTACGAATTTCAAATATTTGTTAAGATTTCCGTGGAATGGGAGAATGCATTTTTGGCTGCCGATAGCCCTATGCATTTCTTAAACCCCCCCCCCCCCCCCCCCCCCCCCCCCCCC